GAACCTGGGGTTGTTCCTGCCCAGATGCAGGACTCTACACTTTCCCTTGTTATATTTCATCAAGTTATTCCCCGCCCAACTCTCCAGCCTGTCCAGGTCTCTCTGGATGGCAGCACAGCCTTCTGGCGTGTCGGCCACCCCTCCCAGCTTAGTGTCATCAGCAAACTTGCTGATAGTACACTCAATTCCCTCATCTAAATCATTGATGAATATATTAAATAATACTGGTCCCAGTACCGACCCTTGAGGCACTCCACTAGATACAGGCCTCCAACTAGACTCCGCCCCATAGACTACAACTCTCTGGCTTCTCTCCTTCAGCCAGTTCACAGTCCACCTCACTACCCGATCATCCAGACCACACTTCCTCAATTTAGCCGCAAGGATGCTGTGGGAGACCGTGTCAAACGCTTTGCTGAAGTCGAGGTAGACCACATCCACCGCTCTACCATCATCCATCCACCGTGTTATTTCCTCATAAAAGGCTACGAGATTGGTCAAGCACGACTTCCCCTTGGTGAAGCCATGTTGACTGCCCCTCATAACCCTCTTATCCTTGATATGCCTTAAGATGGCACCAAGGATAAGGTGTTCCATCACTTTCCCAGGAACGGAGGTGAGGCTAACCGGTCTATAGTTACCCGGGTCCTCCTTCTTGCCCTTTTTGAAGACAGGAGTGACATTTGCTTTCCTCCAGTCCTCAGGCACCTCTCCCGTTTCCCAAGACTTGGTAAAGATGATGGAGAGCGGTCTAGCAATGACCTCAGCCAGTTCCCTCAGCACCCGCGGGTGCATCCCATCTGGACCCATGGATTTATGGATATCCAGATTGCTCAACTGGTCTTTAACCCATTCCTCATCGACTAAGGCAGACCGCTCCGTTGACCTATCTTCATCCGGGGTCTCAGCGGTACAGGGCTCTTCAGGACTGCCTCCAGCAGAGTAGACAGAGACAAAGAAGTCATTCAGTAACTCTGCCATCTCTGTATCTTCTGTCACCAGGGCACCCGTCCCGTTCATCAGCGGGCCTACATTGCCTCTGGTGTTAGTTTTACCTGCCATGTATTTGAAAAAGCTCTTTCTGCTGTCCTTGACCCCTCTCGCCAGCTTTAATTCCAAGGAGGCCTTAGCCATCCTAGCAGCTTTCCTACATCCTCTAGCAGCAGCCTTATATTCTTCCCAAGTGGCCAGCCCTTCCTTCCATGACCTGTAAACTCTCCTCTTCCACTTGAGCATACCGAGCAATTCCCTATTTAGCCACGCAGGTCTCCTGACCCTCTTCCTCGACTTCCTACGTGTCGGGATGCTCCGATCTTGAGCTCGGAAAAAGCAGTCCTTGAACGTCAACCAACTATCTTGGGCCCCTTTGCCTTCAAGCAGCCTAGCCCACTGGATTTCCCCTAGCAATCGCTTGAAGAGGCCAAAGTTTGCCCTGCTAAAGTCCAGGGTTGCGATTCTACTTGCTATTCTACTGACCCTACCACACAAGATCCTGAATTCTACCATCTCGTGGTCGCTGCAACCAAGGCAGCCCTCAACCTTCACTCCTTCAACCAGACCCTCCTTGTTAGTGAGGATGAGATCCAGCAGCGCACCTCTCCTGGTTGGCTCATCCACCATTTGCATGAGGAAGTTATCATCCATACACTGGAGGAACCTCCTGGACTGCGGCTGGGTTGCTGAGTAGTCCTTCCAGCAAACATCAGGGAAGTTAAAATCCCCCACGACGACCACGGCCTGTGACTGTGAGGCCGCTGTCAGCTGCCTGTAGAAGGCCTCGTCAACTTCCTCACCCTGATCCGGTGGCCTGTAACAGACCCCCACAACAGTATCGCCCCTGCCAGCCTGCCCCTTAATTCTCACCCACAGACTCTCAACTCGCTCATCATCTGTCCCCGGACAGAACTCAACGCATTGTAGCTGCTCTCGCACGTAAAGAGCAACCCCACCACCCCGCCTGGCTGGCCTGTCTTTCCTGAAAAGGACATAGCCCTCCATGACTATATTCCAGTCATGTGAGCTGTCCCACCACGTCTCTGTAATTGCCACCAGATCATAATCTCCCGACTTAACACAGGTTTCTAGCTCCTCCTGCTTATTTCCCATGCTGCGCGCATTGGCGTACAGACATTTCAGGGAGCGAGCCGAGCACACCGATTTCACCCTAGGATTACAGGAGGCCTCCCAGTCTTCATCAATTCCGGAGCGCTGTCCCACTGAGGCAAGCCGAGCTACAACCCCATCCCCCTTCAAATCTAGTTTAAAGCTCTCCAAATGAGCCCCGCTAATTCGTGCCCCAGCATCCTTTTACCTCTGTGCGATAAACCTTTCCCACATGCCAATGTCCAGGCCGGTGCCCTATAAAACCAGCCGTTATCAAAGAATCCAAAGCCCTGCCTGGAGCACCAGCCTCGAAGCCAATCCTTTATGGACTGCATTTTCCCATTCAGTCCCACATCATCAACAGAAGATGGAAGGAGCGAAGAGAAGATCACCTGAGCCCCAGAGTCTTTCACCATCCGCCCCAAGGCCCTGTAGTCTTTCTTCATCTCCCTCAGACTGCGGGAAGCAACTTCCCCTTCACCCGTCTGGAAGACCAGCAGCGGGTAGTAGTCTGTCGGGCGCACCAGGTTGGGGAGCACCCTGGTGATATCCCTGATGTGGGCTCCAGGCAGACTACACACTTCCCTATGATGAGGGTCAACTCTGCATATCGGGCCCTCTGTTCCTTTCAGAATGGAATCACCTACTACAATGACCCTTCTTTCTTTCTTACCAGAGGCAGTCTTGCGGTGCGAAGTCGACCGCTTTTTCCTATGTGGCCTTGTAGGCGGGCCTTGTACCACATCCTCACCTACCTCTCCTTCCAGATCCAGAGCCTCAAACCTATTACAGAGGGACACCTGGGGAAGCGGGGCAGGAAGGGAGGAGGGCTGTACTTTGTATAACAGTACTTTGGTATAACAAAGGAGTGCCCAGCTTCAAAAAGAATGCACTATTTGAAGCAGTACTAATACACAAGAGAACTTGCATATTACGAAGTAATAGCATGGCTCCACTCTATCTAGGTTCTTCAGTTTCATGAGGATTTTATTTCTATTTAGCTTCCTCAGTGCGTGAAGGACTTAAAGACAGGGGGCCACCAAGACCATGCCATTGCTCCACTTGTAAGCTTGTCTCAAACTACTATTCTTTTTCCACATAAGAAGTAGAAACATGACTTCTAACTTCTCTGAGACTTAGGACATCCAACTCACATGCTGACTTGTTTGAAAATTATCAGAAAAGAATCTAGTTCAAGTACTGCAGTGATTTTAACCCATTTGTAAATTATGATACTTTTTGTAATTAGAGCAATGGAAACTGCTCAGAGTATAAAAATGTCTTGAAAGCCACAGAAATAAACAGTTTGAATCTAGGTCTTAAGGTACAAATCTATACAGTGTACACACAGCTATGATATGTCAAGAACTGGTATTTTCTCTCATAATTATTGCTAGTACTACTGAGAAGAATATCAGATTAATACAGTAATATTAGAAGATTCAGTTAAAGCACTGGACCATGACTAGGACTGATCCTGTAGATATGCAGTTAGTTACATTACAATGAGATGTTAAGTATGAGTAACCTAGTTCTGGTAGTTCTTATGTACAGTCACACAGCCAAATATCATGACTTTTTGATCTTAAAATATCTGCAGAGGATATTCTGTAAAAGGTGTTTATGCTCTACCCATTCTCAACATAAAGGTAGAACATTAAATGTTTTAAGACATAAAAGGTATTATAGGCTAGCTTCTGATTATGTTAGTGGTCTCAGAAGGCTTCATTTAAATAGCAATTTCGGGACAACCCTATTGAGACCTGAGTTAGTTTTTGAGGACTCCATGACGCCTAGTGCTAGATGAAGCAATGGTCTCAGAGCTCAGGAAGCTCTAACTGGCTGACAACAGGAGTTAAAGAATATGCATGGTTCTTAGTGACAATAAGGATAGTGATTTTCTTAAACCAGATTTCTAGAAATCCAACCAGAAATTCAGAATGAGGATGGCTGAGGACGATATGCAAGAGAATAAGGCTGGTTTAATGCTCTATTTTGTCAGGTGAGTGTTTGTGAGAGCCCTTTCTGTTGCTAATTAGATCTCTCACAATGCAGTGGCAGGTATGCCACCATGAAGAGGGCCACACAGAAAAAGAGAGGACAGAGAAGACACTGGGATTCACAGTTGTGCATGTATATGGACTCTGAAGCAAGGATGCATGCCTGGTGCCATAGCTTAAATATAGCCAAAAGTTCTGATTCTTCAACAGTCTTGGCTATGAATGACAGACATTTCAGGATCATGACTTCCTGCTTGTTTCTAAAAGCTATTCTTTGAACTGGAGCGAAGGGATACACCAGCCTCCTGAAAAATACCTTCTTTAATGTCTGTATGTAGTGTTCTTCTTACAGTTAAGACAGTGAAGGAACTCAGTAGATGAACTGCTGACAAGTGGATTTAATGCATCTGTTTCATAAATTGACCACTTCTGACAAAGGGGAAGGAGGAAACTTAATTTGGCATGGCATGCATGCCTGCATCTTTCTACTGCTCTAATTTGGTGCTGTCTGAAAGTTTACTTTGGTGGTATTGTGTCCTGGAATGACACAGAACTAGAACTAGTGGAATGCCAGAAAACTTCTACAAACAGCTTAACCAAATAAAATCAGCTGACCTGTGGAGATGTGAAATGCAGATTTAGAAACACTCAGAGATGAAATGTAGGTGAGACTAAGTAGAGGAATGCCAAGCTTATATGAGTATCTAGCAACAACATAAATATCACCAGTAAGGACATTTATAAATAACAATATTTTTATTTTTAAGTTACTCTGAATTTCTAAACCTCTTAAAATGTTAACTCAGTACTCCTAGTCTCACTAAGGTAGGTAGCTAAATATTGTTAGTCTTATTTTTACTGCTGGGGAAACTGAGGCAGAGAGGTTCAGTGACTTACCCAAGGCCACAGAGGGAGTCACTGTCAGAGCCGGGATTAGAGCTCAGGAGTTTCTGGCTCCCAGTCCCAAGCTCAGACCACTAGACCATGGCCTCAGGACATTTCCAGCTGGTCTTCAGTCTAAAAAAAAGTAAATTCTCAAGTATGTTACAAATATGTAACATATATATATATATTTCTTTTTTACTTTGAATGTAATGGGATGAGTGAAAACACATTACTTGTGATGAAAGCAAACCACTACTTTTTATCTGAGTTACCTTTATCATACATACATGTATGATAAAGCTCTGCAGAAAAATCTTGATTTAAATTGCAGCCAATAAAAAAAAGCTATTGTATTTCTCAGGGTAAGGAACAAATTGCCTTTCCAATCCAGCCACCATGTCATTTATATTAATGGTGAAAAATGCTAAGTTGCTCTGTGTGTAAGTAAACTCTATTAAGAAAGTCACATTCCTTGGTGAAGCTAGATCCTTAATAAATTTCACTAGCTAAGCACTGAGCTCCATGTCAGAGTAATTACGCCTTTTATCCACTGTGAGCTTTCTCTTAGCTTCCTCATACTCCTTAATTTCCCACTTCAGCTAATTTAGCAGTAAAATCACAAAGGTTTTAAAAGGTTAGCTACTGAGGAACTGGCACATGAATGTTCTGTTTAGCTCCATGCATTGAAATCACATCATGTTGAAGAAGGAATTAATTAAGTAACAATTAGGTAGTGATGGATCATTGACAACATATACATGCTTTGGTGCTAAAATTAATCTCCCCTGTAAATCCAATACATTATGTATATTCCCATCTATATGCTGGCAAGTTTTATACCTGTAATATAAAATGGACAGGCCCTTCATCACTATCTTAAGGAAAAAAAAAAAGGCATATCTGCTGTCACTATTGAACCTACATACTACTTTTAAAAATCATATCACTTTTTTTAAAGAATTGAAAGAGCAATATTAGCTGCAAAAGAAGAAATTTTTAAGGTGGGTGATTTTAAAGTGACTGTAGAGACATTTGTTATACGAAGGTACCTACTCTGTTGAAAGTGCTAACAACTGTGTAGTATTCTCTGGCTATCCTCTTTTACAAGGTGCCATACTGTTTCCTTGTATCGACAGTCAGCTGCTTAATACATAGGTTGGCAGTTAGCCTGGTCAGTCCTCAATTCTAAAAGCCTCTTAGCAGATGAGAAATCTTTGGTTCATTCACACCTTGTAGAAAGGATGACAGGGCAGAAGTGACATCCAGATCCATTTAGAGTATATTTTGAGCCTGATTTTCCTTTGCCTTGCACCTTGTGTAGTCATTTATAGCTGTTCCTCCTGGAATCAGTATGAAAGCTGGTATTACCACAACAGCTGGTCTTAGTCCATCAGAGTTCAGTACTGCTCTGGCTTTAGTATGGGTGGCAAGTTATTGTCTCAGCTTTTACCAAACAGTGATATCTCTGCTATATGATCTACCACCACTTGATAATGTCAGACCTGCTGCTAAGTATCTTCAAGATATAAACTAACATTAGCAGGAAAGGCCTGCAAATATTAGATTAACAATGTCTGTTAATGAAATTGCTAGTTAAAACATTAAGGACCTAATGTAGCTGTTACTGGAGATGTGGTCAAGAACTGTTTCTACTTCATAACAGACATTTCATGTATGATAATTAATATGATATGTTTGGACATTTATTTCACTATACTACCTGCTGGCCATTTTCCTGGTCCTTCCCAGCAGGAAATTATTCCTGTTGCCTTTAGATGCCATGATGAGCAGAAATAGAAATTACTTGATTGCATCAGCTGCTGTTGACCTAAGAGTACTGATACAGTAAGCAAGTGTGTTGGTGTTTCTGTTAGAAAAATTCTTTTAATCACAGTCATACACTTTATAGAGTCATCCTAAGACATAGTTACCAAACCTATTAATTACCATTGTCCAAAGCTTACTCTTCAATGAAGTTGCTACAGAACAAATGAACATATACTTTTTATTCTTAATATTTCAGTAATTGGGGTTTCTTAGGTTCCTTTTTTTTTTTTTTCCTTTTTCCCATTTCCCCCCCCTCCCCCTTCCCCTTCTGCATTCAGTGCTTCTTTAAGTATTCTGAGATGCTAGTCTGGCTAGACTGAAAAGTACTGTGTGTTTGTTGTGTGTCTGCATGTGTGATACCAACTGTTGAAGACTGCTTGATGTTAGATGAGGACTTATGCTCAGAGCTGTTCTACAGTTGGCTCTCTGGCAGAATCTCTCCTCAGCAATGACAATGATATCTCTGTGTGGGGGAGAGTTTGTTTTACAATATTACACTTGCCATGGCCTTAATTTTACTGATGGGGCATGATTTCATTTACGTTAATCAAATTCATGAGTCACTCCATTCATGTCAGTAGCATTAAAGAGCTATGCAGACAAGTGAGAGTTCAGAATCAGATATCCAATGAAAGGATATCTGAATCACTCCATTAAAGATAGATACTGAAGATCTCTGCTTTCTTTGCATTACTCAGCCATGCTATTAGCATAAAACATCAAATAAAGAGCTACAATGACATCTGGGGATGTGGCACAGTACATGGGTTTTCTGTTTACCTTGGGTATAGAAAATACCCCTGAATTAAAGAGATTTAGGATAACATTTCAAGTATGACAAAGTTACTGTATTAGGTCTCCTTGCCCTTGGAAGTTTGCATTGATGTTTCAAAAACCTATTTCCTTCCTTTGTTTTTTTATGCCACTCTTTCATAACTTGAATGCAAAAGATCTACAGGCAAACAACATTTAGTAAGACCTCAGAGACTGGGTTAAGCTCATAAAGAATATTATGTCTGGTAAATACAGGAGCATCGAAACAGTGGTCACAGCTCATAAAGTTTGTTTTGTAGGTATCTCATAAAGCACTATCAAATCTTCATTCATTTCTTAAAAGTGAAAAACGTATTAATTTTCCAAAATATAGGCATTCTAAAACAATAAAAGGTTCTGTACTGGTGTCTGTCTCCTGCTCAGACAGGAGAAATTGTGCAGTGGACGATGGACCTTAATTTAGTCCTCACTGGTAAGTACTTTTAAGCTTAAATATTCTTTAAATTGCACTCATTTAAACTACACTCAAGCTCCATGTAAATCTTAAAAAAAAAACAAAACAAAACAAAAAAAAACCCAAACCAAAACAAAACAAAAAAAAAAAACCAAAAAAACCTACAGGGGAAAAAATCATTTAAGAGGTCTAGCAAACTATCAGAAAATTGCTCCATTATACTTCTGCAGATTTTTTTCCATTTTTAAGTCAAAGTGTTGTTGGCATTTGAGAGCATTTTCTAGAAATCTGTTTGATATATTACAGGCCCTAGAAACTATTACCGTCATATATATTCTTAGCTACACTGCAAGCACATGCCCCAAGACACCAAATCAGAGAGTTGAGGGGTTGTATCAAGAAACCAGGAAGAAAAGGAAGATGAAACAATGGATCTCTTCATATGTTTTCTATGTGTCTCACTGACTCTGTCACTGAAAACTAAAGATCTGCTTGTGCATCTTGCTTTTCTAGTACAGTCGGAATAGCAAAAATACTTTCTCTCCAATTCGCACTGAAAGCTTTCTTTTCACCCTTCTAGACCATGTGTTCAGTTTTATACCCTACGCTTCCTCAGCATAAGAAAATTCTTGTATAGCAAAGCAATAAGGCTCTGTCTTCAGGCTGAATACAAATACTAGTTAAATCACTGGCGCCTTTTAAGAAAACCTTGATATAATTTTCACCCTTAGTAACTGTGGGAATTACACATTTTTCTTGCCTTTGCGATAACACTGTGTGCATTTCAGTATGCACAGTTGGGTATATAGCTTAATTATAAGGCAACAGACTTTACCTATCTGTGCCAAAAAGCAACTAGAAATCTCACTCCTTGTTTTTCAGTAAACTAAAGTGAATGAGAAACTGAAGAAATATAGAACAGAGAAGTAACCTACCGTGGTTGTCTTTATCCGTCCTCCTGGTTGTGTACAGGTCCAGCCTGATTTATTGATTAGCAAATCACAGCCTTCTCCTTCTAAACATGGAAGCATTTCACACCACTGTTTTGTTTTGATAATTCGTGCTATGGGACAGAAAAGAAAAAAAAACAAACACAACCAAAAACAATTGGCAAGAGAATTCATATTTCACTTATCTCTAAACACTTTCTCATTTGCCTTATCTATTTTCATCATCTGATAATGCAGCCAGAGGTTATGATGTAGACAGCCCTAGGCAATTTAAAAAATTATTCATAATACCTGCTATGCCAACAAATTTCATAATACAAATAGAACTTAAAACCCAACAATAGCCCAAAGGAGAGTTGTAAATCAAAAGAACATAAAAGTTAGCTAATTTTCTAATTCCATTCTCCTTATAGTCAAGGGAATATTGTCAGGGTGGCTAACAACTTAATCCTTTGTGTTAGACTATAAACCTGGGCAGACACTCCTTCTTCCAAAGTGCTTACAGTGTAAATAGACATAAGACACATAGTAGAGAGATTAAAAATACAATAAACAGTTAGAGGTGGTCAACAAAATGACAAGAATTGTGAAACTCTGTGATACTTGCAATAGTAGCAGATAGAAAGGGGCAAGAATTCGGAACATAAAAAGGACTGGTGTAAATGAAGTACAGGTTGGGAAATCATGAGGTAGCAGACAATGAGCAGAGGGGAAAGCCTGGTACAAATACCCTTTTATCCTATAACTGCAAGGGAAAGGAAGTCCAGTCAGGAAGGTCCCTAATTGTCTGATAGGTAGTTTGTTGTGTGTTTTGTAGTTCCTCTTAATGCTTGTGCCTCTGGTAAGCCGGGTCTGCAAAATTTCCCCAAGGTCACAGACTGCAAGTACTCTTGGCACAACCGAGCCCTGACTGCATTAAAGTAGATGCAGATGAGCTGTAGGAAGATCGTTTATTCAAGGCAGGGAGAAAGAGGGCTTTAATTCCTGTAGACTTCTTTATGGATTATACTTCAAGTTCACCTCTGTAATATCTGGGATTCTTCTCAAAGAATAGTAAGCAATATGACTAATATCTAATATTTCGTTACTCTTTCACTCTCCCCCTTTAGGCAAAATTGTAGGATGAGGTGTTTGGGATATTATAAAGTACATATACAGAGAAGCATTCACTTGTATGGTGCCATATATTCATGCTAAACAAGGTAAGGTCCCCCAAACAATTCATCTTCTGTTCAGTTGGTAAGTCGCCATCCACAGAAAATGATACTCGGTTCCTTCAGAGATCATGTCAGCAATCCTGGGCTAGACTATGAGAAATCTTCACCACCTCAATTTGTATGTAAGTATCCTAGGATTAAAGGGCAGAACAAGTTCCACAGATGGGAACACAGATTGTCTTCTTCTGGGTTGGTGCTTGACACCAATACATGCAGTATATCTTCAACCGCCATGAGCCCAACAAAAAGAGAACTACAGGATAAATACTTAGCAACATAAGCGTATGAGAAGCTTATGGTGCTCCAAATTAACTTCAGGTCCACAGAGCTTAAAAGCAGGTATTTATAGCCACTGGCAGTTGCAGCTCTTTATTCTCACCTGAACGTGTGATTCAGACTCCCTATATCCCCGACTTCCTCTGTCTAGAACTGGCATAGGAATATAATTCCCAATGCCACCAGTTCATGGCAAGAAATAGAAGTGTAATTTAGTCTTTTAATAAAATCCTTTCCAATATTTTGACATGAAACAACCTGTGTCCTCAGTCCTGATACAACTGTTGGTAAGCTACAGGAATTTAACAAACACTGATTTCTTTCAGTGGAAGCTCAGTCTGAAATTCCTATTAAGGTTTTCAATATGAAAAGCACTTTAGCTCCCAAATGTCAACATAGGAATGTGCACTGTTCGTTAGCCAAGATATCTGTATATATATCTCACTGGAGGAATGATTCCCAGACAATTTTCATAACTACAATTTTTTGAAGCAAATCCACTAAGCTTTTATAGCACATAATATACAGAAATCTGGAATTTGCTTGGGGTGCATAGGTACTCCTCTACAGAGAAATGGATCGTATCAGGTTTTGAGGCTAACATCTCATTTGTAACAGGTAATAGCCTCATCCCTTCTGAGTGAAGGTGTGCATCCAGTTGCAGATTTTACAGAAAAAGGCTCAGTAAAAATGTTAACATGAAGCCTCATCCATTTGCAGGTGTATATTTTGCAATTCACAGATCAAAATGGCTATTTCTAGCAATGTTTCAACAATGTGAAGGATCACTGAAAGACTGAATAGTTGGTTAAAATAAAAAAATATATGCTAGATTGCATTTACTATCTCAGGTGGGAGGTTTGCCTGGAAACATAATTTGGACTAATCTTTACAAAAATATTTCCCTCCTCTGTGAATTACTCAGTGTTTGCTTGGTTGTTATCTCAGAATGCAGCTATTGGCAATATTACAAATATATGGAGCCTGAGCTCTGGGTATTGGCGATATCCAAACAAATTTAGAACACACCAAAAGTATTTTACAGTAGATGAAGTCTAAAACATTTCTGTGTTAAGTGTATAGACTACCCCATGCATTTAGGCCTTGAGAATTGGAACAACTACTGCTGGCGGGGAAAACTACTCAGCCCACATGGCTTAAAGCAAATCAGTATCAAAATGGTTTATTAATTTATTAATGACACATAACCAGCAGCAGTGCAGGATCGATACCAGTAACGCAAAGCAGACTTCCCTTTCCCAGGTCTCTCTCTGGCCACAAATCTTCACAGTTGTTTTATCCAGCTCTTCCTCTTGGCCCTGCTTTGTCTTAGAAGCTGTACAAACACACAGACTCTTGCATCCCTGCCTCCCCAGGCCCTGCTTTCCAAGCCATTTGCCTCAAGCAGGCCAGGCAGGCACCCTCACACTAGGGTATGAGCTGTCTATCCAGTCACATTGTTCAGACACACATGGGCAGTCACAGTTGCAAAAGAGGGGCCATGCTCATGTTGATGGGATTACATCTATTTTTGCATTTTCACTTTTCAGTTTGTCCATTGCAGCAGAGTAGCACATTGAAGCTAAATATATAACATAGGGAGCGAGCAAAGTATACAATGGTTTTATCAGCATAGTATCAAAAAATTTCTATCAGCAATTGAAACTGAGCTACACTAGCCAAAGCAAAGGAATACACTGTATTTCCTGAGGCGGTATAGTTGCCTTTTTACTGTGTGCATTCACCAGGGGTGAAATCCAGCCTTCTGCAGACAAGACAGCAAAAAGCCTATCAGATTCTTCAAATCCACTCCAAGCTCCATTATAAAGAATTAAGTGGCACTTAAATGATACATAGGCTTTGTGCAGACCTTCTGCAAAGAACTGAATTTCATCTTAAGAATCTGAGCTGACACTACTTTGCATCTTCTAAGAAGGGCTGTGCCCCTTCACTTAAACTGCAGTTAACAGGAACTGACAGTGCTCAGCACAAGGTAGAATTGCTTTCATCGGTAATACCATCTGAACTGGAGAACAACTGGAGTCTGTCCAAGGGTTTTTCATACAAACAGATCTGAGGTGTTACAGGCAAGCACAGGTTATATGCACATGACACCAAGCTACCCACCGGTGTTCTCCGTTGTTTTGTAAGACCGAGAAATTTGCAACTGACTTCAAATTATTAGTAAAATAAATATATAGAAGTCTGTGTTCCTGATCAGCACAGCCCAGTTTAAGACTGTTCAACTTATTAATGCTTCAGAACACCAGACATTATTTTCTGTTAAATACTGCAACTGCAAATGTTTTGTCACTAAGCTTCTTACCTGGTTTAACATTGTAAATATACTTTCTTACAGAAAAACAGCTTTATTTTCTGTACTTTCTTTCCTCACATTCACTCTACACTCCGGCAGTTATCAATTACAACATCTCTAGTTAATCTCATATCTGAAAATCAAAAGCTTTTTGTGATATCAAAAAAGTGAGATAAATCTTGTTCTGCTTCAGTAAATGCAAAAACTTACAGCCATCTAAAACATTTGATTAAAACACTCAAATAGTTACACCTTGCTTTCTCATATTTTTCAAATGTTGGAGAATGAAACTGGAAATAAAAGTAAAAGAATATATTTTTTTTCATCAAACAAGAATATTGATCAAACCAGCATTTGGATACTGAGACTTATGATTTCAGAGTACATTGTGCTCATATCCGTCAAAAGTGGTGTGAGAAATTAATATTTATAAATCAGCATGAAAACCACGATACAAGCATGTAAAAAAAGATGGTTCAGTTGATGTTTATCACTCAATTCAAGATACCTGAAGTAGTGAATGGAAGATTCTTTGCAGGAGGGAGTAGGAAAATTTTTTTCCTAAGCCCAAGCAGAATATTCAGTTTTGAAACATGCTTCTTAAATGAGAGTTTAGCTCTCCCATACTTCTTACAGAATGATGTTCTCCTTCACTTTTCGGTCTGGGTTTTTTTTTTACAATGATAACTTGTAGCCCTTAATGAAGGACATAGAGTATGACTTGGAGAAAATATTTCCTTTTTGATTTTCATACTTTTTTTTCACTGATGTTTTCCTTCAGCTTTGAGGAAAGCTGATCAGCATAGCCTGTAAAATGCCTTTGGATTTGCCAGTGTAGATGTAGCTAGACAAAGCCTTTTATCCTACTGTTCCAATTTTGCCCTATTAACTCTGAAGAGGATCCACATATTTTATAATTAATGGTCTCCAACTGATCCCAACTGTTCAACCATCCCACTCCTCTCCCAGCCTCTCTGTTCTCTTTACCTCACATTTTTCCTTTTTCTTTTTTCCACTTTGTTCAGCTGTAGCCTTTTGCTCCAAGCATTTTTCTCCTCTGCCTGATTCAGTACATACATACTATCTACCTGTCAAAGATCCCAGAACACTCTGCAGAACTTGACTTACTACATTTATGTAGTTTTACCTATGACTGGTAAGTGCTGTTTACTATCTCCATTTTGCACAGAGGCTGGAGAGCTGGAAACAAATACCTATGAATTCTGAGCTCCTATGACTGGAGATTTTCTCTGTCCCATTTTCCTGCATTACAGCATGCTTTAATATATATAGATAAGAAATT